CGTGTGTGACAGAATGCAGTTTCAGAAGGATTGAAGTATTCACCTACAACATTTTCATCAGCATCAGTTTATTAATAGTGGTTTTATTGCTGAAGGAAGAGGATCACCCTGTATATTGGTACATTTGATTTTTCTTATGTTTATATCCCTTTTCTAGGTGAAAGAACTCTCATAGTTACTTATGTTTACATGGAACAAAATTGTGATGTCCCGACGCTAGAAGTACGAGCCGTGACATCCTATTTGGCCGGCGCCGGAGGATTCCCGCGCGTTCTGCATAACGTGGCGCAGCTGCCCCTAAAACTAGTGGCATTTTTCAGCACTCCAGCAAAAGAAGCAGACTTCAAAGTTACGCTCAACACAAACCAACCAGTAGTAAACCTCGCACAACTTTTCCCGGGTAAGTGAATGAGAAAATCGAAATAATTTTCTACAGCGTACAGACTCCTTTCACTTTGCAGAAGTTTATCTGCCAGTGCCGAAATGATTTAAGGAAGAAGAAGAAGATTAAGTTAGTCGTGAATTTTCGTGTTCGTCGTTGTGCAGTGCAAGTTTATGTTTTGTTCATTATGTTATTCTTACTGCGTTGAAATTATGATTTAGACAGCACGTATGTCCGAATCCGGCCGTTCATTGTGACGCCCCTCATTTCTCGTAAATGTGGATACGTCTAGGAGAGTCGACACCTCGATTTAATTTGATGCGCCGTCATTTCTCCATTGTGGAAAAACTTTGCGTTTAATATTTTAGATTCGTCCGCATTAAAATGACCGTTTCCATTCGCAGAGTTTGCTGGTGACGGTGCCCTGTCTGGCGCGAGCAATGCGGCTGGGTTCCAGTGTTACGGAGGGAGAGGCTCCGTAGTGACCATTCTGGCCGCTAAGTCTTCGCAGCGCTACCGTCTGCAGTGTGATGCGCTGCCCCCCCTCTGCCTTCTCACTTCACAGCTGGTGGAGCGGCTCAACAGACACTTTTCAAAACAAAAAGATTTCACGTGTTCATATTCCTCATCTTTGCCCGTGCACGAGCTGTTTTCAGAAATTGGAACGCATTTTCTGTTTAGGGAGAAGGCAAGGAAAATACAGGTACATTTTCAGTCGACCTTCGAATCAGAAATGTTTTTACGCTCTACAACATTTCCAGGTCCTAAAATTAACGCTGAAATTGGTACTTGCGGGTTATCGGGACACATCGCTTTAAAAATGGGTTAGTTGAGGTTAGTTGAGGTTAGGTTAGATTAGGTTAGGTTAGGTTTAGGTTAGGTTAGGTTAGGTTAGGTTAGGTTATTTGTCATTTACTGAAATAAAATGTAATAACTTTCAAGTATATGTCATTTATGCACACACATTAACCTAACCTAACCTATTTTTAAAGCGATGTGTCCCAATAACCCGCAAGTACCCTGAAATTTAATTGCTACTGTAGGGCCTAGAACTTGAGCCCTAAATATGAATTTTGGAAATTTTAGAAAATGATTTGGTTAATTTTTAAAACGAAAGCGTTGTGAATTGAGACTGATATTTCTGAACTCTTTTTACCGAAGGAAGAACTCGGCCAGAGAGCGGCGCAGTTTCGAGTCATCCAGCGCCGTCTGCTGGCAAAATTCAAGGACAAGACGCCGACTCCCTTAACCAATTTGGACAACCTCCTGAAGGACACGTACCAGCAAATTCTTGTCTCCGCTGATGAAATGGAGGAGATCCAGCAGGCCCTGTCGCGTTCCCGCTGCCAGCTGAGCTGCATCGTCCGCCTCATCCTGCTCATGGTCAAATTAATGAACGCCACTGCCGAGGAAGATTATTCTGATCTTAGGGCCGCTCTCACTTCAGATGTTTATGATACGGAGGAACAGGTGAGGTTAGGTTAGGTTAAAGAAATTAATATTGAAATTTTGATAGGCAATTTTTTTGATTCTGACTTAGCGGACTTGTTTTAACGTGCTCACAGTCTCATCTTAAGATGTTTTGACGGTGAGCGTCCGTTGTTTCAGGGTTGGGAAGAGGTGACAGAAGCGGCCTTATCTCACCTGCTACGAACTTCTCTGGCCAAGGCCTCGAAGCCGCAGCGCCCGGCCCCGATAACCCTGGAACCGATGAAAGACGTGGCGCGTCTCAAGAAACACGTGTCTTCGGCGTTGGATCGCGTATCTAAAGGCAGCCGCAAGCTCGAAAGGAAGGATAACGTCAGCGAGTCGGCTAAAGCCGTGAAATCCGTCTCGCCGATACCGGAAGACGCCGAAGGAGTCCACGATGACGTCCCGGTGGGTTCGAGGTACGGAGAGAGGACGGTCTCTGCAAACCCGCGCGGCAGGTCGGCCGCGAGGATGAGAGCTCGTCGAGCCGCGGCCCAGACTCGAGAGATGCCGGACAGTGAGTAATTGTTCAGATTGCAAATCAGACGAGTATTCCTGGAGCGAGGTCTCGAGGCTTTAAGAGAATTTAGTTTTTGTTGGATGTAAGAGGAAACGTTAATGCCATTTCTTTAAGTCTTTGTGGGACGTGACACTGACCTCTGACCCCAATCTGGTGCAGAAACTTAAGGTCCCAAGTAGAATATTCTTTGTTTTTAGTTAAATATATTTTAGTGTATCCGCGATATTCGACTTTGTTCTCGCAAAATCATCAGCTTCATCCGACGATCATCAGCAGTCGTTTTTCATTTATGATTTTGCTCTCAGTTTATTTGTTGGCTGTAATTTGCAAATATTTTGATTTCGCTTCTTCATTTTGTCCTGCATTCTGGGCGACGCTCACTTCATTTTCTCTCCGCTCGTTCCTGATCCGACCTCCGTACTCGCACGTTAATGTAATTTGTGTTATTTCCATCTGTCGTCATCTTCGTAGACCATAAACTGACGTGTTCGTCATTCGTCATTTTCTTAGTCCTTCCCGGTGACGTCTGAAGGGAGAGCAGTTTTATGTCCGTCCCGAATATTTTTTCTGGACCGGTAACAGAATCACGAGTCTCGCAGCTTCAGTTGAGATCAGAAGTCTGACGTTTCAGAGACGTTTTCCATCTCCATCATCAGGGAATGATGTGAGAGGTAAACGCTACGTCGATGGCGCTGCCCTGGACAGCCGTCGACCAGCGCAGGACAGAGGGGGCGGAGTCCATCTTGGAACCGAGATGGTTTGTCGTGTGATCGGTGTTGAGCAAAGCTTTTGTTGATGCAGGTCTGAATCCCAGTCCAGGAGCGGACGAGGAACGCGCACCGCCTCCTGATCGTCGCGTCGGATTAATTGAGGGTCCCTCAGAAGTTTCTGCTTCTGGGGACGATGATATCTGGTGACGAGAGTATCTGTCGTTGTGGAAGATGACGTTTTGTTTTTCTGTGATTTGTTTTGCGTCGCAAGGTCTGCGGTCTTACCACCACGAAGTGCAAGTCTGGAGCACGTCCATCTGATTTGAACGTCGCCTTCGAAATGCAATGTGGAAAATGTTGTATTGTCTTGTCTAGTCATGGAACGGATTACTTGTTAGCGTGGCCTTCGTTATTTGCTGTTATTTTAAGGAATAATATTACGCATACAAATAAAAAATAATTTTATTATTTTGATGAAATGTTAAATTGCCATTGGCTGGTTTCTGAATTTAAGAAAACAAAAATATTGCCCTCCTTTTTAATCCAGCGAATGAAAAAGCTTATATCTCTCATAACAGACGCTTCGATTTGTATCCTGGAGGTTTGTTACGTGCTTTAATTTCTTTTCAAATTCGAGCCAATTATCCGTCTCAGACGGACAGAATCCTGTTTGCCCGCTCGTAATCTGTAGCCCGCGTGGTTATCCCGCTTTGTCCCGTAAAATATCGTCTTAAGAATCCCTGAAAGGTCCTAATCATTCATTACCTTCTCCATGCCAATCCCTTGTTCAGTTTTCGCTCGAGTATTTCATTTCTCGAGAGAGCTGCATCGTTTTACGAGAAAATATCGATTTTTTTTTAAATCCTCCTAAATCGATTATCTCACGTAAAAAGTACCGTCGCCATTTTATTTCGATCAGCAATAAATGAGGATGGAATGTTTCAATTTTTGAAGTCATCTGGTAGAAAAAGCGGAATTTGAGAGGCGCTTGTCATCACGATGATTGCTCTGATGACGTCTGAAACGTCTGTCATTTTCCACCAGATCACTTCTGCGCGTCTCCATGATAATATAAATTTCGCACTGCCGCCATATTGTTTCAGGTTCTATAAAAATTACCTCAAGACGAGATTAGTATTTTTTTAACATGTAAGGTCCATCATCAGGGCGATAATTCATAAACTATTTCCGTAGTTTTCTTCAGTCCATCCAAACATGTCGTAATATTATCCTGGAATGGTTTACTAGCCTTGGATGAGATATTTCGTTGTCGTCTGTAGGACACTTTGTGCCTCTAGATCGCGATGTTTAATCGCTTTGGGACTTCCCCGTCAATTAAGCTCTCCTTTTGGAAGTTGGCACGCTGCTAAGTCCGCCTCAGTGGCGCCAGTCGGCGTGTGTAAACACTTCCTCGTTGCGAGAAGCCGATCGCTTCGAGCTTCAATTACGCATGTATTTTATTCTGACAACTTTGTTCTTGGTGACGAAGTACCGACGTGCCTTCGTGATGTCTGCAAATGCGAAGCCAAAATAATAGAGGGTTAGAAATGATAGAATGAATATTTATTAACCAGATGTCCTTACGAGTAGAGAGAGGAATCTCGATGATTGAACATAAATATTCCTGAAGTTTGTTCATAGATCTAGATCTAGATCTAGAAATTGGCAGCCAAATAGCGAAACAAAAAAATTTTTTGTCAAGAGATTGGAATTCTGTGACTGTAATCTTGTTTAAGGAGAATATTTTGTCGTTTTTCCTCAGTCACTCCAAAAATTCGGGGGCCTTGAATCATTCGACTCCGTTGTCAGAGGTACTTACAGCATCGTACCATGAAATAAATACGAAACGAGAAGATGAAGGTTTTTTCTAAATCACCAGAATTTAGTTTACTGTTAATTTAACCGTGAAAAAAAATAATTGTCGCTAATGTTACGGAATGTGCAACGCCCACCGTAGACCGCGTATGCGAAATTGTTTATTCCTCCCCAGCTGTAACTCTTAATAATTCTGCATTTCGTCGACAGAGTGCGTTTATGTTCTCGCCATTACAAAAAATCAATTGGTTTCTCTGTTCAAGGAAATCATCGTTTGTCGTGAGAATCGTAAACAGTTAAGACTTACTGATTGTTAAACCTGGTGGCACATTCGGTTACTAACTCGGCTTTGAATGGTAAATGTCATTTCCCCCCCCCCCCCCCCCCCCCCCCCCGCCGCCAACACAACGTCCACGTGATTCTGAAGTAAGCAAAACCCCTGAAAGTTAGACAGCACAGAATACAAGGAATAAATCCGTGGAAAGACCAGTCCGACACTGAACTGTGTCGAGTTATTCAGAAGCACTGTACACGAAACATCGTAATGTTTAGAAGCCAGCCAGGACTTCACAGGACGATTAATTGACGAATGGGTTGGAGCATTGTTAAAGGAAGTCGTGTAAGTGACATCGTTCTGTAATCGATTCTAACAGACCGTCGATATTTATTTGCCTCTCAGATTCTGTCGCTACCTTTGATCTGCAAAATGCGTGGGTTTACTAGAAATTTATGTACTCATTCAATAGAATTTGAAGCGACTAATGACTTCGCTGACATTGCGTATGCAAATGAGTTGTCGGAGAAATGCTGGACGATCCTCAAGGCAAATTAATCGATTGTTGTAATGCAGTTACGAGACTATTGTTGCATGTTACTAAATAATATTCTGGAGACTGGCCAAAGAACTTACGTCAGAGTATCGTATAGTTAACTTAATAGTGGCTTATGAATTAAACTGGGAATTTCTCTTTAAAAGGAAGAAGTTTGATTTTGGTTTGGAAAGCCTGAAGGAAGATACCATAGCGCGTATGGGAGGATAATATTAAAATTGTCCTTGGGGATATGAGAGTGGGAAGATGTGGCGTGAATTCCATGTGGCTCAGGATAGTGGAAAGTGGCGGGCTCTAGTGAGCACCTGTTGAATCATCTGGTTCCGTAAGAGACGGGGGAATTTCTTGTTAAGCTGAGCGTAGTATCGGATTATCAAGGAAATTTACTCAGTGGAGGTAGAAATAATGTAGGACGATGTTGGGAGGTGCCGGTTCGACGAAAAATCTTGCTTAACAATTTCGATCTCGTCTAAATCGTATTTAAGGTTTCAGTCCGTACCGCGAAGAAAACACTACACTTCACCATTACGTAGATCAACTGGTTAACGCTGTTTAAGGAAATAATCGCTGTTTATTGTGAGATTCATACGAAAAACATTGATACAATACGTAGGCATCTGAATAATATTTAAAGATTCAGTCCGTACCGCGAAGTAAACACTACACTTCACCATTACAAAGATCAACTGGTTAACGCTGTTTAAGGAGATAATCGCTGTTTATTCTGAGAATCATACGAAACACATGAATACAAAATGGAGAGTTAGCGATCATGAAATAAAATGGTACATATAGTTACCACTGGGCTTTAAAGGGGTTAATGTGATATTGAACGGCGGGAGGCGACAGACTGTGAAGTCTGGGCGGGCAGTGGGCAAGTCGTCGTAATTCATCCATTCATCCGACATGGCGAGTCGCCAAGGAGTCGCAACACGTGAATCCCGTCTTTGTCGGATGAAACAGAAAGGAATCTTCCTGGAAAGTTAACACGTCAAACCAGACCCCAAGTTCTAGGCAAACACGAGCTCGTTATATAACGCTGCGTCCCACAAGTGTCTTGGTTTAAATCCAGTGGCTGTTTCTTTCGCCGCAGAACTGTGGGCCTGCCTCTGACGAAACATTTTATTTACGTGCAAATTTCAACTGGGCGTAGCCTGGATTTTGTTATTAGACGTGACCAGCCAACAATGCTTAAAACGCTTGAAAAGTAGCCAACAATGGACCGTCTAAATGCTAATCGATTTATACAGACAAGACATTGTTAGTGTTTTAAAGCAATTAATTACTCAACGACAGATTATTTAAGCGAATCTTCAAGCTTTCATGAAAGAACTAGCCAATTAAAGATCACTTATCCAGTTTTACGTCTATTTGAATTAAGTAGCTGCACTACTAGTACACTTAAGTGATATTATTGATTTATGGTTAAGAATAATACCTCCCTCTGGCAGCCATTGTTTGATCTTTGCTGGACGTGACTCTTGGTATCTTGAACTAATACTTTGGTCTTGTTTTACTTTTTTAGTTACGTGACAGATTCGCGTTTGTGTTTAAAAAAAAATTTCTCTCCACGCTTGTGTCCTTGGTTCGACGTACTGAATGGAACAAGCACAGCGAATTCTCCCTTTCCCACATTCTTGGCTTGTACGTTTAATAGCCGCACGTATTACGGGCGGTGTTTCGCTTGTTTGCGGTGGGCGGACTGTTAAGTTCTTCAACAATGAAATATGTTCGCTCTCCCCAAACGTTTTTAATTGTTGCTGTAGTAGACGTTTGTTCAATTGATTATGCATCGAAGCCTTTTTTTTAAGGACTTGTAAGTTTATGTTTTAATTACTTTTGTCTTTAAAATTCTCGTAACATTAAGCCAACAGCAATCCTCTGCCTCTCCAATGTACAGGACTTAGAAAAAAATTAAAATCAGACAATGCATTGTGAGAAACTAGAAAAATATACAGAGTTTTGATGGGGAAACGTCTTTAGAAGCGTCAGTTTGGAATATGTAAAAACAACACTTTATTTAAAATCGAATTGAACAAAGTTCAGGTCGGTTAACCCATTGAATCCCGAAATTCATCAAAATCATATTTAAGAATTTAGTCCGTACCGCGAAGAAAACACTACACGTAACCATTACAAGGATCAACTGGTTAACGCTGTTTAAGGAAATAATAGATATTTAATCCGATAATTAATTAACCCTTCGAAGCCGAAGTTCGTCTAAATAGCATTTAAATATTCAGTCCGTACCGCGAAGAAAACACCGCACTTCACCATTACAAAGATCAACTGCTTAACGCTGTTTAAGGAAATAATCGCAGTTTATTGTGAGATTCATACGAAAAACATTGATACACTGAGTAGGCATCTGAATAATATTTAAATGTTCAGTCCGTACCGCGAAGAAAACACCGCACTTCACCATTACAAAGATCAGCTGGTTAACGCTGTTTAAGGAAATGATCGCTGTTTATTCATACGAATCTTATAAATATATTGTGTTTGGAAAATGCAGAGTTATTTATTGTTAGAGTAGGTGGTGCGTATAGTTACCGACGATAACTACAAATTTTGAATTCTGATTGCTTTCGTCGGTACTAATTACCTTCGCATGTTTAATTATGACGAAGTGTTCAAGCAAGGAAGAACAGATGTAGCATGCCACTCAAAAACAAAAACAAAGGATGTTGATTTGCGTTTAACTTTTTGTGCGTTTCATTCACGAGGAGATCAAAGATGCCCCGACGAAAACTAGGAAAGAAAATATTTCTGTTTTTACAACAACAAAATCTTTTCGTCGTCTATAACGCGTATCAATTTTTCTGTATCCTTGAATTTAAT